CTGATGTTACAAATCTTAGGCTTTGAGTGCTTCCATTTAGGTCCGCCCACCATTACATGATATAGTAGCCGGAAAATGTTCAAAAGTCTTCTCGTGTAGAGCATAAAAAGTTACATAGAATCCCATATTTGGTCACTAAAAAAGTCATATCCTACATGCCTTTTCAGGGATGTCAAGTTTCGACCTTCCCTCTAATAAAGCAATTTTGATTAATTAAAAAGATTTGAAAAATGAATTGTTTGTGAAATAAGCATTTTCGCAAGGACTATCAGTTTGCAAGAAAATCAGCCATCATCTCCAGCAATCATGATCTTTCCAACAAAAAAAATTTGGCTGAATTAGAAGTTGGCAACATAGTCTAACAGCGTTTGACATTTTTTCCATTTCTTTTGCACCGTATGTTAATCATTCGCATAGTTTTCCGTGAATTAGATTTGGAAGTGAAGGGTCTCGTGCAAACTTCTTCGCAGTGTGAGAGATAGCGATCCACTCTGGTCATATTCATAAAGGGGCAGCGGAATTTATAGAACTCTACATTGATAAAATTTTCAAGATTAGCATAAAGAATTCAAGAATTAGCATCAAGCTTTTATCAATTTCTGAAATTTCAAAAATTCAGAATTAGCCATTCGACGAATGCAGAATTAGCAGAAAGAATTCAGAAATAAACATCAAGCTTTCTCTTTCAACTCAAGAATAAAACAATTGTTTACAACAAGAATACAACAAAAATTCAAAATGTGACTTTTTATTCATTCGTGGAATTCAACAATTCAACAATTGAGCGACACTTCTTATTCTTTCAATTGAAAATTCAGAAATTCGAAATGTGACTTTTTATCAATTCCTGGAATTTAACAATTCAGAGAAGCTTCTTCTTTTTTTCAATTCAAAAGAATACAAAAATTCAGAAATCCAAAATGTGAGTTTTTATCAATTCTTGAAATTCAACAATTGAGAGACACACCTTATTTTTCTCAATTCAAAGAATACAAAAATTAAAAAATTAAAAATGTGAGTTTTATTAACATTTTATCAGTTGTTATAATCAAGTATAGTCGTTATTGCGTGCGTGTTGTCTTATATTGTATTTTCATATTAGTTTTAGCTATACTCATCGATATAGTTTTGTCGCAGTCGTGTAGATTACTGAAAAGATAGGTAGGAGACCCCCACAATTTAGGGAGAGTCTCTGATACTGGTTCTAGCGGCTCATGATAATCAAATACTTTCAACATGTTGAGTTCCCAATGCGGACTCTAGTGCTAGTGAGAAATCTGTTAGTAACCATGATGCGGGGTGGGGTGGCGTGCGACGATGAGGGTGAGTGGCTACCCAACATCATATGCACAGCAGAAATTTCCAAAATCTCTGCATATATATGCAGGAAAAAATTGTAACGGATAGCCTATAGGAATTTGTAGTTCTATAGCGGAATTTCAGAATTCTGTCTTCCACTTCGTTGTACTTACTATTGCAAGGCCTTTCAAGATCCTTTAAATGAATTCTGGAACTCACTCATCTAATGCCAGCTGAAATTATTGCAATTCCGCGATGCGTCTCTGAATTGTTGAATTCCAAGAATTAATAGAACTCATATTTTGAATTTCTGAATTTTTGTATTCTTTGAATTGGAAAAAATAAGATGCGTCTCTCAATTGTTGAATTCTTGAATTGCAAGAATTAATAGAAGTCGTATTTTGAATTTTTCTATTCTTTTGAATTGAAAAAGAGAAGCTTCTCTGAATTGTTGAATTCCACGAATGAATAAAAAGTCACATTTTGAATTTTTGTTGTATTCTTGTTGTAAACAATTGTTTTATTCTTGAGTTGAAAGAGAAAGCTTGATGTTTATTTCTGAATTCTTTCTGCTAATTCTGCATTCGTCGAATGGCTAATTCTGAATTTTTGAAATTTCAGAAATTGATAAAAGCTTGATGCTAATTCTTGAATTCTTTCTGCTAATCTTGAAAATTTTATCAATGTAGAGTTCTATGAATTCCGCTCCCCCTTACTCGTCATATTCTGATATTAGTGCATCATATCGATGCTGCTTTATTTAACAGAGAATGAACGTAAAGGGCTCGTAGGCGAATCCATTAGTAAATTTATTTTCCTGTTCTAATCGACATTGAGAACCTCATATTGCGACCAAATTAAATGGATTCGTAGATATATTTTATGTAACAGTGGAGTAAGTGATAGATTGCCAGAGTAGCGCTGATGATTAAAGTCTATGTGACTAGCTTCTTTGGAAGTAAACGTGTCGAACGTGTTGATTTCCACTTTTTGGTGAAAATCGCAGTTATTTTTCAACCGGAAAATTCGGAAAAACAAAAGTGGTCGGATCGGATAAAACAGTACTTCAGTCGACTAGGTCTCGGACGCTGAGTCCGAATATGATACTTTCATTGCATAAAAGTTGAGCTCTGGTACCAAAAAGGGAGAACATGTTGTAAAATTCATCGCGGTGCAAAATTCGCACTGAGGGTGGCGCTGAATACAATAATTTTGCTGGGAGATTAAAAGTCATTTTTCTTGGGTTCTGCATCAGCTATGAAGTCAGAAAAGGCAATTTCCAACGTGACTTGATGTGTTCTATAAAACTAGGTTGGTTCTAAATGAAGCGGAGAAATTTGGTGTAATGATGGGTCATTTCAGATGAGTTTGCCCTACGCTACCAATAGCAAGTAACTTCAGCAGTTGTTGAAAGATAGCTCCCAGAAGAAAAAATATGCAAAAGGTCAATATGACTGCCCTAACTAGTTGAAGATTGCGTGGACGTCCATATTTTCTCTTTTTACGTTTAAGGGGAAAAAAATAAATGTAATAGAACCGTTTCTTCCATATTATATACAGCACGTGCCTCTTTCGATCCAGTGTATCTTTTCAGATATTACGTAGTCACAGAGAGGGGATTTAAAGCTAAGAAGCAAACACGAAATTCGCTGTGTATATGCCAGATAGAAAAAGGAATGCGTACATCTAATGAGTATATACACTGGTCGATGTTCTTGTGGGTATTCTTGCAAGATTCTTGTCTCTTGCCATTTCAGACAAGAACCTTCAATTTTGTCTTGACAGATCAGACAAGATTCTTCTTTTAATTTTTTAGTAATTTTTCATTTTTTTTCGTTAAAGATTCTTGTCTGAAATGGCTAGAGTCGTTGACGACAAAATCATCAATTTGTTTTGTCAATTTCCGTGCTATACATAAGTTACATAATATAGTTCAATACTATACATAGGTGTTTGTAAAAATTCCTTTAAATCTCATAAGATTCTTGTCGGGAGACAATGGAGTCTTTATATGTGCCTGTATTGGCATCAGAGCATCCAGCTCCTATATATATGAAAAGAAAAGATGAAAAATGGATTATATGTGCATTCTTTTTGTTTACAAGATTCTTTTAAGAATTACAAGACTAGATTCTTGCAGGAAAAATGAGTCAAGAATCTTGTACGAAATCGCGTTCTTGTCAATTCAGACAAGAATCCGTCTCGCGATTCTTGTATGAACTCACAAGAAAGCAATTTCCTGCAAGATTCTTGTGATAAAATACATGCGTAAAATATTTTACAAGTTTCTCGTCTGAAATGCTAAGAAACAAGGATCTTGCAAGAATACTCACAAGAACGTCGACTAGTGAGGTATTATTGGCAGGTAACTTCTTTCAACGGCTTCTAGCTGCTATTAGTGGCACTTATTTGTGCCTAAAAGCAGACGGCCCATTTATGTTTTTCGCTAAGACCAATGTCTGTTCACGTTGGTTGGCTGCATATACAGTCCATACAGGCACGCCGCTTGCATGAGATAGATACTTTAAATCATAAGGATTTTCCGCTTTCTTTTACAAACTTTGGCTGGCTCTTAATAGCTATCTATTATAATTAAAACTTTTTAATGAATGTGATTAATCACATCGCCGGCATAATAAACCATGGAAACTAATTAGTTTCCATGGTTTATTATGCCGGCGATGGATACTGTGAATCAAGCATGGTTGGGTTAGCTCAAGATGTACTAGGACTGAACGCTAGAGCTACGTCGCTAGTATCCTGTGAGTTTACGTTGATTGTGGCAACTTAAGTGTAGCTTTCAGTCTTAGCGTATCTGGACCACATGTTTGTACGTAACCAAATGTAATAATATGACATCATAATAAAGCTACCATTATCGATAAATAGCCTTACGAGAGACGTCCTACATCTATATAAGTGACTTATATTAGAAAAGATAGAGGCAGTAGTGCATCCAAACAACAATCGTTTAATGACGATATACTAGATTCAATCATTTTTGTCGTTTATTTAAACAGCATTAGCGCTACGCTGTAAATATACAAATTTCGACGGCTTTTTTCTCGCAACTGAGTATATCATGAGAAATGTTAACGCTTGTTGGAATCTTCAGTATCTTCCACCTCTTGTCTGTCTTAGTTGATAGTCAAATGATGATAGGCACAACGAACAAATATTCTCGGTCAAAGTAGTCAATTTTTTAGTTGATACCTTCTCTGTGTTGTGATTTAGTCCGACCACCTCTGAGGAAGCAAATTTGTTTATTTCTTAGATCATCTACCGAAGAGATTTGCTATATTTGTTTTTAGTTTGATTTTGAATGGTATTTGCAACGTGACACTGTATTTTGTAGTCTTTCGTTCAGCTAAGTATCACCCTAGAGAGATACTTAGCTTTAGGGAGAATTAGAATTTAAGAATCTTCGGCTGGTAAGAAAATTCATAATTCTTTGAAAAATGTCTGGACAATCGAACGTGGAGCTACTTGATAGATGATACTCTTTACACTTTGAATTTGTGTTAGAAAAGTGCGAGATCAACAACATCTAAATGAGAAAGTTTAAGGAAATTTCTTTTTCATATCAAATAATTATCTCTAGTTTATTTTTCGAACCAAGACGACGTTTGAGCTGATTTTGCACATTTGGTCTTTTGAATCTATTTATGAACAGACTTGTGTATATTATTGTAGATTCTACGATGGGTCGTCGACCTGCACGTTGTTATCGTTATTGCAAGAATAAACCATATCCTAAGTCGCGTTTTTGTCGTGGTGTACCTGATCCAAAAATCCGAATATTTGACTTAGGTCGAAAGAAAGCACGCGTTGATGAATTTCCATTATGTGTTCATTTAGTATCAGATGAATATGAACAGTTATCAAGTGAAGCATTAGAAGCTGGTCGAATATGTGCTAATAAATATTTAGTTAAACATTGTGGTAAAGATGCATTTCATATACGTATGCGTGTTCACCCGTTTCATGTTATACGTATTAATAAAATGTTATCATGTGCCGGTGCTGATCGTTTACAAACTGGTATGCGAGGTGCATTCGGTAAGTTAATAGTTTTTTTCTTAGTTTTTATCTGTTACAGGCTATTTTTGTTTCAATTCGGTTCATAGGATAGAAGATCACAAGCATACTTCTTGATAAAAATGCAGAAACAGTTACAGAAGTTTATTTTTTCCTTTCTCAATGAGTAAAATAGCTCCATTAAACAAGGAAATGAATAAAGTGTCATTTTTTTGTTTCATTTTAGGTAAACCGCAAGGTACAGTTGCACGAGTGAATATTGGTCAAGTGATTATGTCAACACGTGTTAAAGATCAACATAAAGCACAAGTTATTGAAGCGCTACGTCGTGCTAAATTTAAATTTCCTGGACGACAAAAAATATTCGTATCAGACAAATGGGGTTTTACAAAATTTTCAAGAGAAGATTATGATAGATTGATGAACGCTGGTCAATTACAGTATGATGGCGCCAACGTGAAATATCTTCCAAATCATGGACCATTAGAACAATGGAAAAAACGTCAAACAGCTTAAAAGTAGTTGGTCGAATTCTTGTTTTATCTGAAAAAGTTTAATAACATCGTTATGGTCAGCTCTGCTTTTCTACTTGTTGTTATATCTTTGTTTTTGTTAAACAAACAACAACACGAGCAAAGTAAAACAATAAATCAGTATAAAGACCGAATAATGCGTTTTCTTGCGCTAAAATGAAATCAAATAAATTTGCAAATGCTTACTACAAAACAAATAAGTTAAGTTCTTGGTCGATTAATGATGAAATTGAAACATTTTTTATTAGTAGTGATTAATACATTCAAACTGTTTCTGATTTTGCCCATAGGCAGTTCTGTTTAACAAACATTTTTCGTTGATATAGCTAATATTTAACAATGAATGTACAAGTAGTCGGCGAGTTTTCCATGTCGCAGATTTCTCACTAACGGGCCTGTTTGAAACAAATTGTTTATATAATACATTTATTTCTAGCTGTCCGTGGTAAATTCTTGATTCAGTCGTACGACATTTTCACAATTTATTTAAGAACCATGCTTTTACGCCACTCTCTATGGGAATCCAATCGGGAGGATCGAGTTTTAGTGTTGCGCTCCAGTTAACGGATTTTTCTCATTATAAATCAGTTTTCATGTTCGACAACCAATCCGGACTTCGTTTTATTCTCATAGCTATACTAGTGCCGTTTTTTTATTTTCACGGTTCCCACTCGTCTTTCAATCTGATCTTTCTCTCTACTCAATTTTATATAAAAGAGCACGTGGAACAACATATTTTGGCTATAATATCGTTCCTAATCTTGCACCCGGAAATGAGGAGTTTAATAATGTTAAAACAAATATTAGAGTTATTAGTTACAACAAAATGTGCAGTTTGGTCTGCGATTATTTATGTGTATATGATGGAGCAATTTCTTAATTTAATCAAACGTTTTTTTAGCATTAAACATAACTTTGATACTCACGAGGAAAGTGCACCAAGTGTAAGTTGGGTTTTTCTTTCGAACATACTTTATTCTGGGTTTTTTTTTAATATTTTTCTGCTATATATTGAAACCCAACAACAAGACCGAAAATATTCCAGTCGCGATGTCAAATGAATATAACCCGATTGAGATAATTGCGTAGTACTCACCAGTATTTAAGAACTATTATGAGGCCAAACTGATGAGAGAAGTGCACCAAGTGTAAGTTGGGTTTTTCTTTCGAACATACTTTATTCTGGGTAATTTTTGATGCTGATCACGAATTTGGTATCCGTTCATCCCTCCCCATACGGCCTTTCAGAATCTCTGTTCAAATTTGACTCTTTAGAAATCCATCGCTAACTTTCGTCTGAACAGGTTCTGATCCTGTCAGGTTGTAGACCATATTAAGTTACCTTTGTGGACAAGTTTTGAGAGCTAACAAACAAGTTTTCATCGAGTTTTATAAAAATTTCAGTTTTTTATACAGCCAAACTAAGGGTGATTGAGATATCTTTTCCATATAAAAAATGATAACGGTGACAACTTGTTTGCCAACTCTCAAAACTTGTCCACAAAGGTAACTTAATATGGTCTACAACCTGACAGGATCAGAACCTGTTCAGACGAAAGTTAGCGATGGATTTCTAAAGAGTCAAATTTGAACAGAGATTCTGAAAGGCCGTATGGGGAGGGATGAACGGATACCAAATTCGTGATCAGCATCAAAAATTACCCAGAATAAAGTATGTTCGAAAGAAAAACCCAACTTACACTTGGTGCACTTCTCTCATCAGTTTGGCCTCATAATAGTTCTTAAATACTGGTGAGTACTACGCAATTATCTCAATCGGGTTATATTCATCTGACATCGCGACTGGAATATTTTCGGTCTTGTTGTTGGGTTTCAATATATAGCAGAAAAATATACAGTAGATAGAAAACAGAATTTAGCGCAATTTTTATTTTCTGTGAAATGGTTGTGTAAGGTTGGATTCTTGTGATATAATGTCAAGATTTTTTGCGTTAACGAACTTTATTGTTAACTTTCATAGAAAATATCCCGTTTGAGATATATTAGTCCGTAGAACGCACTGACTAATCACAGTTATAGGAGAAAAAACTTGAAAGTAAAACAATTAAAAAATATAGTTTAAAAACAAAGATTAAAGCACCAAATTCACTGTTCATTCTTCACCTACTATACAACACAGTTTATGGACGGTTTAATAAAATATCAGAAAACAAGAGTTTTTCAGTTGTATATCAGTCTTCATATTTCATTGTTGGTATTTTTTCACATGCTTTTCCTGTTAAATTTGCCGGTAAGTCATCAACAGCATACTGTATTTCAGAATATAATGATAAATTTTCTTCTTCATTTAACATTCTTTCACTCTGTTCAATTAATAATTTATCATGATCCATTTGTTCATGTCTATAATCTTCAACATTTTTTAACCATGTAAAAATTCTTAATAATTTTTGATGATCAATATCAAATTCGAATAATGTATCTTCTAATGTTGATAAATGTCTACTAGCAATAAATGCTAAATATAAATTACCAGAATTTGCATTTGGATTATTTGTGGTTTTATGTTCTTTGTGAGATGAATGATAATGTTTTAACGAATGAGCACTTTTTAAGTGACCACCATCTTCATTACTAACATTATTTACGGATAAAAGATTTGGAGTAGTTGGTGGCTGAATATAGCCACGTTCTGTGGGATGTGGATGACGTACTTGAACATTTTGATTAGTGTGTGATTGATGATAATATTTATACGATGATGATGTTGATTGTTGCTGTTGAGAAAGTTGAAATGGTGATTTTGAACGATCACCACGTCTTGAATTTGATACTCTTGCATCACGTGAATAGGTTGATGCATGAAGATTATTAATATCAGTTACTAAATTTGAGTCAGTTGATAGACGAAGCGCTTGTAATCGTTGTTGAATTTCAGCTTCGGATGATACACGACGAACGTTTGTAGTACCATTCATATGATGTGGTGATGCTCGACTTGCTGTTGGTTTACGTGAATGTTGATAAGACGGAGTTGCCACATAATATTGTTGAGATTGTGGTGATGCTGTATGAATAGATAGTCCGGTACTAATCGTATTTGATAACATTCCATTTAATGCTTGGGTAGCTTCTTCACTTCGACGTCGAAGTTTATCAATTTTTTGTTTAATGGGGGCTTTAACAATATTATTAGGACGACGTTGATATAATTGACCTTTAATGATAGAAGAAAAAGTTGTCATAGATGAACCTTTCATTGCATAAAATCTTACCTTGATTCAATTTCTCTTTTGCTATTTGTTCTACTAATTTTGTTGGTAACGATTGTTGCTGCTGTTGTTGTTTTTGAGTGTCACCTGAACTACTCGAAAATCGAATGTCTACTCCGCTATCATTGTTGTTTCCAGTGATATTTTTTACTATAATAGCTTTTTGCTGTGCTTTCGTCGACGAATATTTTACACTATCGTTACTTTTCCGTCGTAGACAATTGTCGTTGATAATTTCATCATCTTCATCGTTATTATCCACTTGTGGATGATAATCAAAATTTTCTGTCGAACGTTGTTTAAGCATATTAAATATAGATGATATGGATGCTTGTCGAGATATATTACCCACTCTGCTATGACGAGTACTTTTTGGACTAGCTGTAATAGGCGTTTTTGATCGTGAACGTGATCTTGACTGTCCATTACTCACACCCGACTGATGATCACTTACATCTTTAATCAATGGTAAACGTGTTTCAGGATTTATTTTATTAATGAATATATTTGATGGACCTGCCAAATTCGATGGTGATTTTCTTGAACCAGCAACACGAAGTTCAGCAGTTGTTTCAGCAACAGCTTAAAACAGAAAAATAATTAATATAAAATTGGGAAAAATACTTTTCTGAATTATATGTTCTAGATGATATTTATCATTTGACTACCACTCATAATAAAATTTCAGATATTATTTCATTACAAAAATGAATGACATTTGGCTTATTGACGAGATGATATCAGCAAGATAATTACATAGCTTAAAACGTGATAAGTTATACCATACGACAATTTACAAGGTTTTTTTTTTGCCAGTCCATTAGATGAATATCTAGAAGATAGCTCTAGTACAGTTTTTCAAAGTACCGTTCTTCAACATCGATGCATTTCTGCAGTCTGAATAATACAATCATCAAACTTTTTTAAATCTTCTTTTTGTGAGACTGTTGGTGTTCTAATGCATTCAACATTGCATTGTCGTCATCGAATTAAATTCTATGTATTTGATTTTTGAACTTGGAAACAAGAAGAAGTCACATGGACTTAGATCTGGAGAATATGGTGGATTTGGATACGGTTTCACATGATTTTCTGTCAAAATTTCGTTGCTCTATGTGGGGGGAAATACCATCAGTCATTTTCCTGAACTTTTGTTACGATAGACGCTGGTTTATCTCGTAGATTAGTTTGTGACACCCAAACTTTTGACTACTCTTTTGTTTCTAAATTATAATGATAGAACCATGGCTCATCATCAGTTATAGTGTCGAATATATGACGGGATTGGTCTCCTTCAAATCTTTTCGATGGATTATGACGCAACTGAATATAGCACTGTTTTTAGTTGTCGGTTAGTTGATCAGGCACCCATCGAGCTCAAACTTTGCGAAACTCTGTTGCTCCGTTGAAATTCATGAAACTAATCATGAGAACTGAACAATCTGTAGGTGCCTGGTCTCCCTATGGTCGCACCAAATGGACATGGTTTTCCTTGAATGTTAAGCAAACTTTTCAGTTATATAAAATCATATTTTGAAACTATTATTGTGACAGTTCAAACGTTATATAAAATGTTGTACTACTAATCCGAAAGAAATGCAAAATACAAGGACACACAAGACGTGTAAGTATTGGAATGTTGCATATAATCCTGAATATAACTTACTAGAATAGTTCCACTCAAATTGCAGCTTTTGGAGTGTCAGGACGAAAAAACCTTCGAGGTACCCTAAGTATTTGTTTCATATTTAGCATGTTCAAACCTTAAATCACTTACTAATAAAATTCGTACAAAAGTGATGAATTTCAACTTGATTATTATTTGTTTCCATAATGAATGTTACTCGCTCTTTGATGTTGTTAAACTTTTTTAAATTTGTAAATTCCTTATAAAAATGTGGACGCTCTGACATTTTATTTTTATTTTACTTTGTCTCACAAAAAGATTGAACACCATCAAATGAGTTCATCAATTTTTTTATGAAAAGAAAAAAAAATTACTTCTGCATTTTACTTTTTTTTAAAGATTTTTATCACGATAGTATATAGTACGAATACAAACAATAACAAATAATATAATATAATATAATTTTACATACAATAATCAAATGTGTGTGTGTCAATTTGCAATCAACATTGCCAGAATTATAAAGGTTTCTCACACTTTAGAATTTGAAATTGACGTCGCTTTCAATGCTATATATTTTGGATGTCCAAAACACATCAATTTGCTCTAGTTTTTGAACATCGGATTTGAGTTACTTAAAAACTCATCGAATTACTTATAATTTTGTAAAATATTTCATGCACCGGTGTTAACATATTAGAAATGCAAAGTTCACTATCTGCATAATAGTAGTATATCAACTAGAACTTCGTTCTTTTATTCATTCGATTTTAAAGTTTAACTATTGATTTTAGATAATAATTAATCAATTATTAAATAATAATCAATTAAGTAAGTAATCAATTTCTAATTTCTTTCACTCTTCATTGATATATTACTTTTCTGTCGAATTTCTCGTCTCTTTTCATAAAACGGACTACGTAATTATATATTAAGAGCATTGACCAACTTCCGTTGGATCACACAGCTGCCCAGACAATTAAATTTTTGATAAAATATGGATTTTACTATAAAAAACGATTTTTCGACATTTATCATTTCATAAAAGAGACGCGTAAACAACACCCGGAAGGCACCAGAACCGTGAGAGTGAGTCAAAAAAAGCAAATTTCAATATGAGTCTGAAATAGATTTTCTGCTAAAAATAGTTTTATTCTACTTTTATAGTTTACTCTTACGGTTCAGGTACCCTCCGAGTGTTGTTAAAGTAAAATCCATGTTATAACCTAGAGTTTAATTTAGAAATGTCTTTAATATCTGTCGTTTATTATGTTAGAAGAGCTTAACGCACGAGTTCTGTAGTTTTATCTGAACTTTTCATAAATGATTTTGTATGACTAACCTACGATGCAAAAGTAATTGTGGAAATATCGGAGTCTGGTTCTCCGGCTTGGTACATCGTAGAAAGTTCATTCTTTTTCTGGTTGAAAGAGCAAAGTCTGAACTTCAAAAAATATAGAAAACAATATTTTTGGAATTGACTTTGAGGAAGAAAAAAGTTCGATACTAAACGTCTCTAAAACAGCTCTTGCAACATAATTTTTTCCTAGAGTCTGAAGAAAAATGTTTTCTTGAAAACCAAATAGATGAGAAGGTTGCCCGTGCAAAACTCTATCAACTTCACTAATTTAGAATGTTTCTCAGTAATTCTTTAAGGGTAAATAAAGCGCATTATAAGTCTTAGTTTTGATGGAAAGCACTAATTTGCATGAGAAAGATGGGACACCGAAAAAATTTGTTAATCAGGGCTTTGAGCATTTTAGTAAAGGTTGAAATTAATTTGAATTTGTAGAGAATTGCGTGCTGTTCCAGAAAATGTGTTTTAGAAAAAGGAGAACATTCGTCCCGTATCTGAAAATTATTAATGAAGTCTAATTACCTGTTTTTTGAAACTGCTGAAAAACTTGTAAAGTTCCTCTCGAAAAGTGGATCAAAGCATAATTTATCATACCCCATTTGAAAGAGTAATAAAAACACTTCTAGTTTCGATGATTATATAATTTCAAACGTATTCTGTTATAGGGAAAAATAGATTTGATATGAGAGATACATTTGAAGAGGACAAAAAGTTGCAAGAGCTTTTTTGACGACGTTTGGTATCAAGCTTTTTTCGTCCTCAAAGTCAATTCCAAAAATATTGTTTTCTATATTTTTTGAAGTTCAGACTTTGCTCTTTCAACCAGAAAAAGAATGAACTTTCTACGATGTACCAAGCCGGAGAATCAGACTCCGACATTTTCCACAATTACTTTCGCATCGTAGATTAATACGATTAATTGTCCATATGTCTCATTTTTTTGGTCTCTTCATATGGAGTCATTAGACTTTTCTCTATCTTAATATTGGAAGAAGTGCAACGGTAGGTTACAGTTACTTTAACAACTAAACGATAATTCACATTACTCTTGTGTCTACATTCTAAAAAAATTTTGTAGTCCACTGCTACGTTTTATGCATTACAAATTTTGTTTATATTACTCATCAATTACAAGGATATTATGTCAACTAATTCATTCTACCGATCCATAGATTGGCTGCTTGTTAAATATAAAGTTCTCTTGCCTTCATAATCTGATAAAACACAATTTATTTAAACCGATTATACCAGATGTAATCTTATTTTAGTCAAACAAACAGTTTATTCTATTGCTATTGATATTAAGTGGAAGAAACCCAAGTAAAGTAAGCGATAAACTGCAATTACATTTCAATACCGTTGTTATAGTCTATAATAACAAATTTATCCTACTATCCGTCCGTCTTCATTTACACAATATAAACTAACAATTAATCGATTATTAAATTCTACAAAAAACAAAGTATCTTTCCTAAAGTAAAACTTACCATTTTGTAATTTTCCTTCAGAATTACTTCTAATAATTTTATGTAATATATTTTGTTTTCGTTGAATTAAGGTACTACAATTGTTCGGCATATCCACAAGCGATCTATATATGATAATTCATGTTAACATTAGATTAATATGAAAGAATTGTTATGATGCCAGAATTTCTATCTTCATTTTTTTTTTCTTTTCTCTATTAATACAAATAAATCGTCACACAATTGATTCGATTAATATTATAATCGACAATAATAAATTCATTTTAAAATTCATTTTGATATCGTTCGTTTTTACTTTCATATTCAAGTGTTATTTTTTTGGGAGAAAAAAAATAAAAACTCTTCGTTATGTATGGAAAAAAACAACAACATATGTGTTTTTCGTCTATCCTTTCAAACTAATTTTCATTAACTAATGCTTATGTTACTTTTTGTTATTGTTTTAATTTATTCTCTCTCTCACTTATATCGTTGTGATTAGTGAAAAAAAATCAAAGAAGAGAAAGAAAAAAAAAAAATCTTTAAGTTTCGGCATACATCATCGAAGATGTATGAAGTACTTGAATTGATTCTTTTTTATACTGCTATTCTTTCTTTCTGTTTACGATTTTATGTATTTTACTACGACAAAATAGAAAAGATTTTCTTCTTTATTTTTTCATCTTATTAAATCAAACATGACGTTTGTTCTCTCGGATTCTTTTGCTTTCTTCTTAAAAAAAAAAAAAAATTGTTTAAATAGAAAAAGAAAATAAAAATTTGTTTAACACTTTAATGCTAAGGTACTTTTTAAAGTTACGTGAAAAGAAAAACGTATTAGATAACCATAGTGGATATATGTATTTATTCAACATTATTGCATATTTCGTAAATATCTTATTATAGAGTTTTTTTGGGCTAGGAACATCATCGATTTCTAACATTATGATTTGTTTTTTTTTTCAATTTTTTAATTAACCTATACAGTGTTACAAAACGGATAAATTGTTTCGAGTAGAAATTCTCTGTTTTGATTCAATCTAACTGTTCTAATAGTATAAATTATGTATATATATCTATTTCGATTTTTAAGTGGAATTTTTTTTTTTTGTCACCCGCTGAAAAAATGAAAAAATTATTTTTTCTTTAGAGAGAGTTGAGTATTTTAATAAAAATCAATTAAATGATGAGTGTTTTAATATTTTTTCAAAGATTAAAAAATTTTGTTTTTTTATTAAATAAAATTATTAACTAAACTAACTTAACTATAGCCTGTGTATTTTTTTTTTTTTCATTTACTGTGTGTACATTGTCCGAAATTTGTCTTTCTAGCAAGATGATTATAAGAGTTTTGTTTTGTTTTCAAAGTGTTGTTATGAATGAAAACTTATGTTCAATGATTTTTTTGTCCCTCAGTCAACGACATAAATCGTGGTAATTGATTACACTTACATCAATGCATGTATACTGAAAGATTCTTTTCGTATCTTTTAGTAAAAAACATGAAATTAGTATTTGATGTCAAAACATTATAGACTAACAAAACGAAAAATTTATTTTGCATTTTTTCAGTTGATGCTGTTTCTATAACTTTCTGGATGCGTTTTTTTTTACTTAGAAGTAAAAAAAGTACAGTTTTTACTCCTAATAATAAAAGTCTTAATGATATTCTGAACTGAATCTACACGATTAAGTATACCCTCACGGTCTATTGAATGATCACTTTAAGAAATACTAGTGTCACTAATAGAAAGATTTTCAGCAGTTTATTAACATATTCAATAAACCGTTTTTAGCAACGTATGGAGCTCACAATGTAACTAGATGTGAAATAAATCTTTAAACTCCAACTATAATGGTAGCTATATATAAAATTATTTTTTAACTTGAAATAAATACTTTTTTCATTTAAGTTGACTTCTAATTCATTTAAGCTGTTGTTTTATCGAAGTTATTACTACTAATAAGAAGCGTGCCATACACGAAATATCTATATTATCTGTTGTTGTTGACACGCTAACTGAGAAACAGTATAGTCGAATCTAATCATTTAGACACTTTATATACGGAGTACAGCTGTGCGAGAAAAAAATCAGTTCATTAATTAGTTGTTTAAATGAATATGCTAACAGGTTGTTGATGAATGATATATATATATATCTCGAGTATGTATGCATATATATACATATACATACAAATTCGAGAGATATCAATCATTTATCAGCGAAATATGTCGTCGATAATAACGACAAGAGCTACCTTGCCACCTCCACCTCGTTTTAACATTCCACCTCCACCTCTTCTTCTTCAATTTGATTTTAATCTTGCTGATTTAACATGTTCATCTATGAAGAAAATATCATCCATTGAACCAAAAGTTATTTTAAATAGATCAAACAATTATTTTATCATTATCATCATCACTGGCGTTGTTATCCTCATACTAATATCGATTTTATTCATATTTCTACAACGTATAAATTATCGTCGAAGGCGTTGTGAACAAAAAGTCTCAAATAACAATCCACCATCCTCAATTAGTGGTTCATGTGCGACAATATCCGATCAAGCGGCAACAAACAGCACATATTTAATGGCAACTAACACGTCAACATCGTCGACTATACCATCGACATGTTCATCCGATTGTTATTGTAATGATCTCAGAAGAACACCATATTATCATGTCATCGATTTACCAATGTAAAATAAACTTTTTTGTCAAATTATATTTTTCTTTATACAGTGATAATTATTTAATTCATTAAATTATTATTCATTTCTCTACATTTTAAATTGAAAATTAGATTGCTTTAAAACTGTGTATGTAGATCTGTGTGCGACTAAAAGTGTGTGTCGGAAAATGTTACATTGACTGATTTGTGAAACTATTGTTAGGAAAGAGTAGATTTGCTGATTACAAGGCTGATATAACACCGTTGGATATTATCGACAGAGGTTGATTGAATCCAGTTCTACGAATGAACAACCTCTATGGATGCATAACCTTTGCCGGTCTGACTGAGAAACATTTCTACCAGTTTTCTTTGTTTACAGTTCTCGTATATACATTTATGCTTTTATGAGTCGAAAAACGCAAGGCAATGACGTCGAGATATTTGTTTCCATTCTTTTTATACACGTCGGTCATTTCATTTATGAAACACTAGCATTTCATATCTGCCAAAATAATGAAATGATAGATAGATACGGCAGTTTATTCTACATAATCAAATCAATATTAACTTTCTGGTCGTCTTCCAAGTTGAGAATATTCATCAGAATGATATGTCTGTCTGTATGGATGAAAAAAGCTCTCGAATTCAAAAATGACAAATTTAATTCTATAGAGCAATTTGAGTGGGGTGGGATAATTATGATTAGGTTCTAAAAACGTCGTATCATTCCGATATAGTCCACTCAATTTAAACGGGCGAAAGCAGTGTTTCACAGATAGATAGATATGACTGTTTTCTGTCAAATTGTGTAAAAAATTTTAGGAACTCGCTAGTGTTGACGAGCCTTAATTAATTTTCTGCGAGTATCTTTCGATTGAGTGTAATTACCCCATTTGAGGTAACCACGCTCTTTATTAGGAGAATTCTGATCAGTACAGCTAAAATGGCCGCCAATGAGTTGAACTAATCTTGCTTGAAGTGGAGACAAACTAATTTAGAATCAGTGCATCTTCTAAGAACGTCAAGTTCTGTCAATTGTATCAATTGCGTGTCCTTCGAACTTATTGCTAATTAATTAATTAGAAACTGTAAGTAGCAGTGTTTTTCTTAATAAAAATCATAAAATTTGAGATGAATACGATCGCAGCTTTAGAATAGTTGTGGTCAGTATGTGTAAATTATATAGAGTATGAATGGTATCCGTTGATAGAGGCCGATTTTATATCAAATCCAATAAGGAAGTTGTAGATAAGAGTTTTCTCTATCACATGAAGTGAAAACTGGAACAAAAACGGACGATCTCACGATCTCTACAGATTTTCTATTTCTTTATTCATCCAATTAAAGAGCGTAATGTAAATGTTACTAGACAATGGCTTTAATGTAACAGAAAATAGGGATATAAATCGATGGATAATCTACAGCCTTATCATATTATTAGGTTCAATTTTAAAAGGATAATCATATCGAAAATACAATTTGTACAATCAACTCATGGTAAAACCCATTAATGTCACGAGATTTTCGTTATTGTTGTCATTGTACAAATACTGATGATCCAAAATATCAGGAATGTGTCAAGAAATCTTGTTGTGTTGGCTTAATAATAAATTAATCTGTACAATCAATTCAGATGGTACAATGAAAAAGAAAGTACGTGTTGATCATGACTATACGCCAAGCGGATAACGAAGTGTTGAATATACGTCAAAATTTAAAACGTAAAGCGATTGAATCACCATTATCAATTGGTCCTATCATCAATCAAAGATATATCAGTCTTCGAAATGCAATCCTGAGCCAAGATCTTCTAATTCAGTTACCAACTATTGCACCAATGAAAAATAATCTTCAAAAAGAACGACGGAAAATACGACTACCACTTCTCAAGAATATGAAGACATATGAATTTATCAATACGGATATGTCATGACACAAGCATTGGGAATTGTCTATTACCAATGTATCTCACAAGCATTTTCTATATGTTGAACTCAAGTATTCTATATTCTATTTTGGAGAAAGTTTATTTCAGACTTTAGATACGTATGGCCGTGCTTTTTTGCAGATACAAGAATTCTAACAAAATGGTTCATTTTTTAGCCGTAGAATCAACTTATAAAGATGACGACCAACTACGTGTACTGTTCAAGTCATTTGCTAGCGTCGCTTTATTACCACTTTCTGACATGCAACATGGTGCTTTTAATTATTTGATACAAAAAAGACCAAATTATGTACAACTAACATTGTTTTTGCAATGTTTTCAATATAAAGCATTGAGCACTTCTCCACCAGCAATATATAATCATTTCATGAAATTTCAAGTGGCACCAATCATGTGGAGAATCAACATTTAAAATAGGAAAAACGTAGTACAGCAACTCATTCAAATATTCATTGTACACAAATTAGTTTAGTGCACATTTAATATTGATCGAGATGGATGCACCATAGCCAAAACGACATGATAGTCAAAAAATAGCTGAAAATTCTATTCAGAAATTATGGCAAAAGTATTGCGAACAAAAAATACATTTTATTTCATTTCGACTTTTTAATTTATGTAAGTTTTGATTAAACGTTTGTAATGCATTCTATCAGGATGCAATATCTGGATTTATTGTTAAGTTAACATGACAAGATTTTTTCATACATTTCTAAATATAGATTATCCATCGATTTATATACCTATCTTGTGATACATTAAATCCATTGTTTAGTTACATTTACATAACGCACCTTAATTGTAAGAATAAAGAAATAGAAAACCAGGTTGTATATTTTCTTTTCCTTAATTAATTAATTGACATAAGGAACTAAATATACCGGAACTAAGTCCTTAACTTTTTAAAAATAGTTATTTTTTTGTATTTTTAATTACGGGAAATTTCAATCCTTGAACTAAACTATTCGTAAATCACTCAGTCACGCTGTGGAGCTAGTTTAGAGACTCCTCGATTCTATATCTATATGAATGGAGCTAGGAACGATCGTAAAAACGTGTATCGAAATCTTTGAGCACTAGTGATAATAACAAATCGGAATCTAGAGATTCCTTTTGCACTCTTCAAAAGCATGTTTTCTTTACTGTGCACAAAAATGACGATGATGCAACTTGTCAAAATTGCTTTGAAATCGTCTGATAAACATAAAAATGAACTAAATGAATTAAAATAGAATATATTTTTCATCACTGAAACACAAGGAACTGACTACAGTGAGAGAGAAAATGATGTGGATTTAAAATTTGATTATTCAAATATTTTGCGTGTATTTGTTGAAGTTTAACAGAGTCTTTGATCTTCCTTTTTGCAGTGCCAAAAAAACACATCTCATGTGTGTTTTGAAGAAGGATCGCTGTCATTGGAGCAATAGAGAAAAATAAGCTTGAAGGATGTTATCGGCACAGGTGAAATCTCTCTGCTTATGAGAAGTCCGTATGTTTTCCGTATCGATTGCGTAAAGCAATACTCTAGTTCGAATGTGTTGTTTCATTGTTTTACTCATAGCTCATAAAAGGAACTATACCAACATACTGGACATAATCGCAAAATCGTGTCAAACTTAATGCCAGCGTAATGTTTTATTTTAAAGAGATTCAATTTATAAAACAAGAACCATAACAATCAGCAATTGATAATTTTTATATAAAAAAACCTGAATCCGATTTGCGAAGTGAGAAAAAAAGAAACAGAAGTCAAGCATGCTCATATCAAATAAATGCATAGACATTTATGCTCGTATACAGGTCAAAACAAACAAAGAAGAATCACAGACAATAAAATGAGAAACATCCACACACACACACACGTACAAATAGGAATGAAAAAGTAGAAACTCTATGGCTTATTTAATGTTCATTTATAGTGTCTGTTTGAGAGTAGAGAAAAACCTGCAATTGAAAAATGCATGAAGAATTCTGGCGTTCATTGTATCGTCTTTTTGTTTGTCAGTTCACCGGGTTACACTTTAATTCTCCTTTCATTTGTGTTCATTCAGTGCAAGAAAAAAAAACAGAAAAAAACCAAAAAGAAAATTAGCTAATTCAATACAAAAAAAAATGTTACATAAGACCAAACATTGACAAATTATTAGCAAATGCCATTGGACGAACTTTTGGATGATCGACAGCTGTATAACTAGTAAATTGAGGAGTAATATTATCGCCAAAGATCGTAATATACGCTCCTATAAATAAAAAAATCAATTAAGCATTTCTTTGTAAGATTTTCACAAATATTCTTTCATACCTTTGTTGCCCATGGTGTCACAATAATTTGGAGCACTGAATACTGTAATACATTTATTATTATGGGCCAGTTCATAGCCCTCTTGTTTCACTTCATGACTTCGAACAACATATTCTAAATTATTTACTTTGAGAAATTTTTCTGTTACATCAGGTCCAAATTGCAAACCTTTATTTGTTGAAAGAAAAATGAAGTTATAAACAATTCATATTAACCACAAATAATAATAACACTTACCGACTCCGCGTTTACTCTCGGATCGTCCATTCTGTGGCTGCGGATCTGACCAAAGTAATTCGGACATTAGACCTAAAAAACGAGAGAAAATCAGTAATTTGAGACTCTTATATTAATTCATTTTTACCTTCGTCCGGTGGTTGTCGTACCCGATCAATTGCTTTGATATCTTTTAATGTAACATCATCTTTACTAAATAATCCGCCGTGCATAACCTAATGAAAATTTGAAATAGATGTTTATTTTTATTTTAAAGCATTACTATACATACCAATACTTTATTGTTTATACAATGGCATAATGGAAGATAATTGAATACTTCAGTAAATAACTGAAACATTTGGGCAGAATACATATAGTAATGTTAAGAAGAATTAGAAATATATATTTTGTATAAAATACACGGATTTTTATAAAGGATACTTTGCTTTTACTTCACCTTCAAAACCATACCTGCAATATAAAAAAAAATGTAGATAATTAACAAGTTAAAGAAGCAGAATGAGTTTTACTTACATTTGATTCATTGTTAGCGATTCGTGATTACCTAGAAAAAAAGTAAAATTAAGTTTAATTAAGTAAAGTAAGCTATTATTCAATTATCCGCAGCTAGCTAATCTAAACAAACAAGTATTTAGAACCGATACCTCTTGCAAGAAAGAAATGATCAGGATATAAAAGTTTAAATCCAAATAATGAAAATATACATTCGACGGAAAATGATCCTCTAGAAGAACAAGAAAGAAAGATAAAAAATCAAAATATTATAAATAGACTCTGACTATTACCGATCAACAAAATCACCATTGAATAACTATGAAAAAAATATTCTGTTAAGAAAAAAGACTTTTGTTTTATAACTAATTTATACGGTATAAAATTTAAAATAAAGGATACATAAGGATTATCATCACTTGGTGGTCCATTAAGTTTGAATATATTGAGTAAGTCATAAAATTGTCCTAAAGAAGAAAAAGAGGAACATTACATGACTATATATATAAGTTATACATTCTTCTCACCATGAACATCACCACATATTGTAAATTTCTTTTTAGGCGGAACATTAATTTCAATTAATGATGGTAATGTTTTAAACAATGTTAATATTTGTAAAAGAATCTGAACGAAAAGTGAAAACATATTTAGTTAAGCGTATTTTAACAAAAAAATGTCCTACTTGATAGGCAAATCGTTTATGGAGTTTTTTTTGATTTTCAAAATAAGATAACAATGTCATCATAAATTCTTTTGTAACCCGACCATTTGCATCTAACTGCGGTCCATCGTAATCTTTTTCAATTGTGATACTACTAATATCAACTTGATTGGCCACTGATTTATTTGTTTCTTCAACGGATATTGCTTTTTCAAATCGAATACGAGTAACAATTTTCTTACATTCTTCATATTTTATAGCCGCATCTTTATCATTTGGACACACTTTTTTCACCTATATAGAACAAAACCAAATATAAAAAAGGATAAAATAAACGTTATATTACATACATATTCGTAATCGTTTAATGCACTGGTATATTTTCCCAATGCCATTTGAGCTGAAGCACGACGATAATAAGCCTAATATGGATGTGAAATAGGATAGAAAATTTTAACAAAAATTTAATTAGAACTTTACTTTAATATATTTTGGATCATATTCTAATGCTTTTTTGGCATCAGACAACGCGTAACCATAATATTCACGTTTCAAATAGGCGAAACTACGATTTGAATATAAAATAGCATCGGGATGAATCTCGATTGCCTTTGAATAAAGATCTGTGGCTGTTTCATAATCACCAATTAAAAAAAAGAAACAATATTTAAAAATATTAAATTTCTAACTCTGGAGAAAATTAGACTTATTCTTAAATGCTTCATTTGCTTGTGCTTTCAATGCATCTGCTACTTCTCTGGCTTGTGATGGTTCATGTTTGGCTGTTTGTAAACTACTATTTTCAAGTGTTTTACTAAGTTCAACTTCTTCACTAGTCATATTTCATAGAAAAAAATAATAGTTAAACATAAACATATAAAAAAAACCAAATTGGTTGTGTTTAAAAAAGATGTTTTATCGGGATTAAAATACAAAAATGTATATATCTAGAACAAAGATGACAAAAATGAGCAGAGATTGGAAGTTCAGCATGTCGTAATACTGTACAACATGTCAATGTCTGCTTAATTTAACGAGATGGTAAACAAGATAATCGAAATAGTGTATTACATGAAAAATGGGGAATTATCGATGAAATTTAGTTGTTATAGTGGCAATCAGAACGCAGGCAAACAAAATACTGTCATAAACGATACACACATTGCCTACTGTCCGTATTAAAATGAAGATAGTGCGTTTCTCGAATAACGATTAATAGAAAAATATAACAGACCGTCCGGCTCTCATTGTTCGGTAAAACACATGAAAAAAGAAAGAGTTCAAAATATCACCCTTTGAAAGAGTGGGTTACTATCCGAAAAAATCACAACACTTGCAAATTCTAATCAATGGATCTTTTCTACTACGGAAGCCCAAGAAGTCTTTCATAGTTTCTCTATGGTATCCATTTTCTTGGGAACACAAGAAGTACGGCTTATTGATGTTTGGTAAACTCGCAATCAACTGAAAACATAGGTTTTCGATCATTTTGAATCTTGTCACAATGTTTAGCAAAAGTTGTGTTTAAAAAATGTTTGCAACGAATACTGCAAGAAGAAACTGTTGAAAAACTGTTAAACAAACGATATTAGGTTATTTACCTGTATAAAAAAACCCGCATATTTCGTTCAAAATCTCTTCAGACTTTTAGAACAAAAGTGTTTTATATAATAAAATAGCTAGAAAAGTAGAGAACTTCATTTTTTCTTCGTTGAATTTGTTTAAAAATTGTCAAGAAAATCTAATACTGGATAGAACTGTTCAACGTAATATTCGTTGTTTTAAACATAGAGGATACTCGTCTAGTGCTTTCCAAAAATTCTTAGGTGATACTCTTGCCGTCATGCCATCGGAGTGGCATCGGAGTAATATTAGTGGACAAAATATACTTTTCATATCGACCAACAACACCAAATTTAATTCAAGACTTTTTTTGTTTCATACACTTCCAACTCATTATTGTGTAACTGTATTTTATGAACAAACTGTCGAATATCTTTTTTTGTGTTTTCTGTTATTACCGAATCAGGTGGTATGAACTCTTTAGCACTCGATGTTAAATAGGTCTTTTTGAAGAAGGATCAGCGTTTGAATAATCTTTTTACATAATAACGGCGTTCACCATGAACTTGACAGCTGTCATTGGACTTACATCACATAGAACTGATATGGATTTTTTTGGCTGTATTAAGCGTGCGTGACTAATATAAACATTTGAATCTGCTCGATTTTTTTATCTACAATTAGAATAATGCTACAACGTTAAAGCAGAAATATATCATTTCTGCGATACACGGTAGATGAGAATTTCAATATCGAAGATCAATTATTGAGATCTAAAATCGATCGACAAACTTCGATTTATCAATATGAGGTTATGATGTATCCAGCGGCATAACCAGGATTTTTAGACCAATTTTTAGACCAACTTCTATTGTGTCGGAAAAAAATGATGGGCAAAATGGGCAAGGTTTAAAACTTACTCAACTTACTTCAAACTTACTAATAAAAATTACAATGGACAAATCTCCAAATGAAATGGGCAATTGCCCCTTTGGGGGGGGGGGGCGGGGGGGGGGGGGGGGGGGGGGGGGGGGGGGGTGTTGGGGGGTGGGGGGGGGGGGGGGGGGGGGGGGGGGG